AAATGATTAATTGTTGACTAATGTATACTAATGACATAACAGTTGTTAACAGAATTCTATTGAAAATATGTATGAAAACGAAAATATACTGATAGAAATCTCTTTTATATTATGCCGAAATCAATGAATGTGATGACATTTGAGAATTAACAAGGTAAGAATTGATATGACGTAGAGAATTCTATTATCTCATCTAAATATAATCTGTAAAGAAACATTTCTATTTTTTTTTTAAATGCATTTGGAAATATATGACTTCGTGAACGCATGAACAATTTGACAAAGTGCACACTTTATATTCGTCTTATATTACAAGGATGTTGAAAATAAAAAAATTTGAAATAATTGTTTCAATATATAAGAAGATTAAAATCTGATGATTACACCAACATTTTCCATTATTTAGCTTGATATAATAAAGATAAAAATAGTAAGAAAAGTTAAAAGTCAATATCTTCAAGCAACAAAAATCTTATTCATCATGACTATGAAGAAAATGAATTATAGTTGATATTTTCGAAAGATACATTATAACTTGATAGAACACAAATGATCAGTCATATTATTTAAAGACAAACGAGAACTATGAATTGCATTTAAAAATGATAAAAGAAAAAAGATTTTATTCTGTTCATCATTTCATTGAAAACGATAATTGATATCAAACAATATATTTCATGTGGATTCTTTAACTGAAAGATAATACAATGTAACGATGACAATGAAATATACCATTAATTCTATGAGAAATTTCTATATATTTATTTTTTTATAACCATTTGTTTCTTATGACAATTTTCTTATCAGATACTAACCATCGTACTATATCTATGTGACTTCGATTAAGAAAGTAATTAGCATCATATTTAGAAAGTTCTGAGTGAGAGAATACTGAACGTACATGTGTATTGAATTAACTGAAAATAAGTTTACAAAAATGATCGAAACAATAAGTACGATTGTCCTTTTTTTTTCAGAAAACTATTATCTTAAGAGAGGGTCCGCGAGAGGACCACCCTAGGTCGCCGGGGAAAAAAAATTTTTTTTCGATTTTATTTTCTTAAATGATAGGTCTAGGCAACCTATAGTTAAATCCAAAATATTAGGTCATTTGGTTTTACCTATGAAAAATGCGAGCTAAAACAAGTGTAAGGGGGTCAATTTTGACCCTAAAAATCCGCTAAAAATGGGTGTGCTCAGTATTTTGACATTTTCTCATGAATAGTTTGAACGTTTGAGATCGGCCCCATCTCATTAGATAGGGAACAGTATAGGCTACAAATTTATCCAATTTTGATGATTCATATCTGGGATAAAAGAAACGCTATAGATAAAAAATCTTCGAAATCTCAAGAAATTCTACATTCTGGGATAGCAGTATTCTGGGCTTTTCTTGAGTGGTGCAAGCGGTCCCAAACTTCTTTTTTTACCAGACATAGATCTCTTCAAGGTACATCTTTTGACATTAAATTGTTAAGACAAAAAAACTCGGGGGCCAAGTTAGCATGGACCACACTGTGGCCGGTCCTACCTAGTCAGCATTGATCCTACCCCACAAAGACATACAATTTCTACAGAAATCACAAAAATGGACTTCAGATTCGTGTTCAGTTTGAAAAACTGACTTAGATAGGATATTTTAAATTGATTCCTTATTTGTACCAAGCGTGTTCAAGATCATGGGCCCACTTCATGGATATATGCTAGATATATACCAGGGTGTTTTGATAATAATTCACCAATACTAATAGCTATCGAGTTCGGGTTTTTACCATTCGATAGCTCTTTTCGAAAGCTACAAAACCGTATATTTTCAAAACTCAAAAATAACTGATCAATTATGACATCCTGAGCCACATTAGACTTGGAGCACGAATTTATGCATTTTTGCCCTCTGTTTAGCCCGTTTTCTATTGCAAAACAACACATTGAATCAAAACCAGTGTCATATTCAAAATCAGCGTTAAAAACTGAGTCGATCCACGTACATTTTATAGATTTCTGAGAAAAAAAATTTTCCTATGAAAAAATGACCCTGTACTCCCCCTCAGGGTTCATGAAAAAATGATTTCCCTCAAAATCATGTTCTAGTCGTTTAGTCTTTCGCCATTTTACTTTTGTTGAAATTACAGAAGCTCGGCTACTTCATTCCACGCGATAAATCGCATTTTTGAGAAAAATCATTTTTTCATGAACCCTGAGGGGGAGTACAGGGTCATTTTTTCATAGGAAAATTTTTTTTCTCAGAAATCTATAAAATGTACATGGATCGACTCAGTTTTTAACGCTGATTCCGAATATGACATTGGCTTTGATTCAATATGTTATTTTGTAACGGAAAAGGCGGTAAACAGGGAGCAAAAATGCAGAAAATCGCGTTCCAAGATCAATGTGCCTCGGTATGACTCAGGTGATCAAGAATTTTAAGCTTGGAAAATATATAGTTTTGTAGCTTTTGAAAAGGGCTATCGAATGGTAAAAATCCGAACTCGGTAGCTATTAGTATTGGTGAATTATTATCAAAACACCCTGGTATATATCTAGCATATATCCATGAAGTGGGCCCATGATCTTGAACACGCTTGGTACAAATAAGGAATCAATTTAAAATATCCTATCTAAGTCAGTTTTTCAAACTGAACACGAATCTGAAGTCCATTTTTGTGATTTCTGTAGAAATTGTATGTCTTTGTGGGGTAGGATCAATGCTGACTAGGTAGGACCGGCCACAGTGTGGTCCATGCTAACTTGGCCCCCGAGTTTTTTTGTCTTAACAATTTAATGTCAAAAGATGTACCTTGAAGAGATCTATGTCTGGTAAAAAAAGAAGTTTGGGACCGCTTGCACCACTCAAGAAAAGCCCAGAATACTGCTATCCCAGAATGTAGAATTTCTTGAGATTTCGAAGATTTTTTATCTATAGCGTTTCTTTTATCCCAGATATGAATCATCAAAATTGGATAAATTTGTAGCCTATACTGTTCCCTATCTAATGAGATGGGGCCGATCTCAAACGTTCAAACTATTCATGAGAAAATGTCAAAATACTGAGCACACCCATTTTTAGCGGATTTTTAGGGTCAAAATTGACCCCCTTACACTTGTTTTAGCTCGCATTTTTCATAGGTAAAACCAAATGACCTAATATTTTGGATTTAACTATAGGTTGCCTAGACCTATCATTTAAGAAAATAAAATCGAAAAAAAAATTTTTTTCCCCGGCGACTTCTATGGAGAGTAGGGTGGTCTTCTCGCGGACCCTCTCTTAAGTATATTCAATTTAAAAAATGATTCATAGAGAATAATAGAATGTTTGTCACCACATATATATGTGGTCATCATACATATTAAAGATCATTATATTGAGATTTGAGTCGGATAGGAAGTGTTAATGAATATATTTTAGTATCATACGAGACATACAAAGTTTATTAAATGCTGCCTTCAGTGATAATCAGGAGAAAAACCTGTGCGCCTATGTGAAAATCAAGGTATTGAAAAAAATTTTTCTTTATATTTAGATATATTTCGAACATTAAAAAACTTTAAAACACTTTCTTCATTTTCTTGCCTTTTCTCTTTCGCTCTCAGTTCAGTATAAAGTGTTACAGAACAGTTTTAAATCTTAACCTAGAAGATATATTCAATATTTTGACTGACAATCAAGATGCCAATTAAGCGTTAATGATTCTTTCTGATACACGTGTTCCAATCATATTATCCATTATACATGAAATGTCCCGACTATCTTGAGTTTTTACCTAATCTTATGTTATACAGTTAAAAGAATATGAGATAATCTGAAACATTTTTTCATATTTTGAATAAATTGCGAAATATATCAAAGTTTCAGAATTGGTGATACACTTATTTCTCCAAAAGTGATAACTGCCAATTATGTTTGATCTGAATTTTATAAACAATCATTCATTAAACATTAAAAATCGTTGAATAACATCATTGAAATTTTGTTTTTCTGTAGTACCAATGTTGTCTCCATTTTTTGAAGATAAAGTTAATAGTATACGAGAAAAAATACTTTATCAGATAGAAATATTTATTGAATATCTGTTGGCACGATGAACAAAATCTTGTAACGGACTGGTTAGATTAAAGTGGAAGAGCATAATTTTTCTGTCGTTCGAAAAACGATATTGACTCAGATGCAACATAATTCGAATGATATACTCTACTTTCACTTTCGGAAGCAACAGCATCATCAATATCAATCACTAACTAAAAGAATTATTATATTGTGAACATTTTATGTACTCACATTTTGTTATATTTTGAGTGTCCAACCGTCAGAAGAATTTTTATTTGACTTAATATTTATCAAATTACTCAAAAAGTTGTAATGTTTTACTTCATGCACCTACTTTCTTCATTAGCGAAATTCTAGTAATCCATTCTATCCAAAGGAGAAAAAAACGCACTCTCGGTACTTTGAAGTACAAGTGAAGGTTCGTTCTTTGTTCTTTACTTGTACTGCAAAATACTGAAGTTACGTTTTTTTTCCCATCGCCCCATCTCTTTCTTTCTCCTTTCAGCCTCGATCGGTATATATTTGCTTACATCGTCAGTCTTATTCAATCTTTTTTTGCCTTCTTTGCAATAACAAACAGCGTTGTTTTTTGTCTCACTCTGTTGCCTTTCTGCGTCGATACATATATTTCTGCATGCCCATCACCCATACTCTATCATTTTTGCTTTCTTTCTTATCGCAACCAGCATACATTTCTGCTTTGCTTCGCCACTTTGCTTTCTTATAATTCACGTTCTTCCAGTTACGATACATACATATTTTTTTTTGTTCGCTTATCATCTTGTCTGATATTTTTAGCGTCATTTAGATTATTTTCATTCTTACTTTCTTAATTTAAGATGGATGGAGAATTTCTTTATTTTCTGTGGTTTCTGTTAATAAAATCTTTTTCTTTTAGATATCGTAATCTCATATATTGATTTTCAATCGTACTACTATAAAACTATTACAAACAATGGTGAAAGTACTCATTGTTGGTGGAACTGGTCCTGTAGGGCGAACATTATCCAAATTATTTCTTTCAAGTCAAACACCTTTTCTTATTGGCAGTCGCAATCCAATAGCAATAAATAATGATAATGATAATGCTGGTTCTCAGTTAACTTCAAAATGGATTCATATGGATTTGACAAAAGATGAAGGAATAAATAAATCTATAGATGATGATGTAGATACAATATTATATCTTGCAAGCTTGCCTCATGCAACAAATGATAATCAGCTTATTGATGTAACTTTAACAAAGAATTTATTAAATTCTATTCAGAAAAAAAATATTAAACACTTGATATATCTTTCAATTGTAGGAGTTGATAAAATGCCCTATTCATATTACAAAGGAAAACTGGAATGTGAACGTTTAATCAAAGAAAGTGGTATTCCATATACCATACTGAGAGCCACTCAGTTTCATAGTCTTGTAGAGGATTTTGCAAATTATTTACTGAATTATCCAATGGATACTGTTTCAAAAGTCGCAAAAATACAGCCTATTCAAGTAGAAGCAGTAGCTATGGAATTAGCTAAAATTGTACAAGAACCACCGTTGAATGGCACGTATGATATTGGTGGTAGAAAGATATATACGATGAAAGAAACAGCGGATTTATTATTGAAAGCGCGTCCAGAAAAGAAACCGGTGGATAACATGCCGATAATTGGTGAAATTCTCAATGAATTCGCCGAAGGTTACAATACTTGTGACAATATTTCATTAAATTCTAATACGTGGGAAGAATATTTAGCCAACAAATATCCTAAATGACTTTCTAATTTCGACAGACATTCGAAAATATTAGAAGTAAATCTAACGTAGTTTTATGTACGAATATAGTGCGAATCTCAATGTAGTCTTTTTTTTTTAAAATAAAATATAAATTATATCGAATTTTCATGTTCTTTATACAGAGAAATAGAGCTAATCTGACTGATCATAGCTTGTAATGTACGTTAGACAACAATGTACAGTTAGAGTATGATAATTAAATATGTTGCTACTTATTAGCTGGAAGACTGGTTAGGGTATGGGGGTTCTCGACTAAGAAATAGTGAAGAAATAATCTAGAAAAAATTCGTATGAAAACAGATTAATTTCTTCTATTTTGCTCAGTTGTTTATACGGAGCCGTGCGCGAAAAAGAAAACGGTGAATGAACAGTCGCTACGCAGAACGCGACAAATGTAGGGTACCCTGTAGAGTTTTCCTTAGTAAAATTACAAATGCGAGTATCCATACCAGTACTTGCTCAGTGAGCGTACGTTTATGGGTGCCCCTTGTAGTACCTACATCAGTATAATTACTGAGAATTCTCGAAATACCCATATTAGGTACCCTGCTAAGGCTTTCTCAGTACATGGGTACCCTGAACTCAGTACTTTCTCTAGGGATGTGCTACATGAAAAAGATCAGTAAAATTGTCATAACCTTCGAAATAAGTCCTATCAACCTCAACTCCCTTACGGTTTTTTTTAAAAATAATGTCCTCAACATATATGGACAAAATATCATAGAAAACGACGTGGATCAGTTGAAGAGCGTCCTTCGTCTGTCACAATAGTATAGATGCGATGAATATATGACTTGTTTTTGTTCTTTCTCATTTAGATACTATTAGTTTTCTTTCGTTTTTCTTGTGTACGTCTGCTTCTTTCAGATATATTTCTCCCTAATTCTCTTGTTTTCTGTTTAAATGAATTGATCCAAATTCTAGGATTTTTTTTCATAATATATAATATATTTCGATTTTACTAGAAAACATTCATAGCCCGTAAGAGTCATTCCATATTTGCAGCTAGCTAGCTATCCTTCCTTAGTTTTGCTTTTACTTTCATTTTCATCTAGATAACCATCTCATCTTCTTTATTACCCTTGTCATTTCACGTCAAAGTAATAGTACAATTCTTACTTAAATGCAAATAGTCTCGAAATATATAAATAAATAAATTCTGGAAGTTGTTGTAATAATATCCTTAAGCTAGTTTTTTTTAATTTGAACTGAAGATTAATGATCAATATGTATTTCAACCGATTTATGTGGATCATGACCCTTATTATATTATATATAATTACCTTATGCTTAAAGAATCACACATATGTTTATGTCATGAGTACAAAGCTGTAGTACCTAGCACAGCTGCTGTCGATGAGGTACCTCTTCTTATTAATAATTATATTTCTGATTATTGGAAAATATCTCAACGTCCGAACCACAATTATTTCGAGCATTGAGATGGTTTTAATAATAATGAAGGCGAATTTATCGCTGATTTTCGCGATAATCCAGTGGTTTTCATTGGAAAAGTATTAGATCAACAACATGGTGATGGTGTGGATGAAGATGGATTGGTTGAATATGATACTATATCTTCTGATGTTACGGATTCTAATGATTATAAAGATGAAGGGCAAGACGATCATGATATAGAAAACATTTTTCAAGTTGTTAGAAATATTAAATTATAGCTGTTTTTGTTATTCTAGCAATATGTATGGTAGTTCGAAATATCACTGCTTGTTACAGCTTCAGATTTAATGGTTTATATGTGATGAATTTTATTTCTACTGTTATAGAGCTTTTAGTATTATTTATTTTTACATATATACACGCATATATTAGAAATAGACATATAGTTAACAGCTTATATTTGAACAGCTAATTGTTGTAAGTGTAGGATTCTAGAGATCCATTTCATTTATTCTACAAGATAACATCATCTAAATAGATTTCTAAGCAATAAAAATGTCAACAAAATGTAATTGATGATTTTCTCAATAATTTTCTTTAGATTTATTTGTGAAGAATGATATGTATGTTTTTAAAATAAAAAAATTACCTAAAAAAAGCTATATTTCGATTAGAATAATATCTATAAACTGGTAATTATTTTGTGATCGATTAACTTGAAATAACTCTGTCAATCAATATAATTTCGAAAGAATATATGAATATATAAATAACATATGATTGTGTGTACAATCCTGATATTTAAATCCGTCTTTACTCGAAATGTGTTCTCCTGACGTCTTCTCTTCTAAATATGAATAAAAATATTTTAGTTACATATAAAATTCCACCTAACTTACAGTCGTAATAGTATATTTTTAAATGCCAAGAATGAATCGAATCGTCTCTGTTGAATGCGATAAACATATAAATAGACACTTATCCCATGACTGTTGGGACAAAAATGTTTTCATTCATTTCTCTCGAACAAGAATATAAAACAATAATAGCATTTTCTAATCTTGTTCATCATAATTTTTCAACTTAGTTTCATAGTTGCATACAAAACGACAAAAAATAATTTCAAAAGTTTCACTAGCTGGAATTGTACTGAGAAGATCGCAGTAAAATGTTTATTTTCATAATGCACATCTGCAGTTTGATGATTCTGATTAAGAATAAAGAAATTGCAAAGAGATATATTTAAAGCAAAGTGAAAATTCAAACAAAATAGATTTCTATTAGATAAACAATAGCATCTCATTGGTTAGTGAATATTATTCTACATTTCATTTCTTTCAATTAGCTGCTCTGGTCAAGAACATGTCTAGTGTGAAAGAAAATGGGTGTATGTTTATCTAAAGTCTTGTCAAACAATCAGCACGAAATGGATTTAATTGAGTAGGGATTCGATTGGTTTCCATCGAGATCGCTATTATCGTCACCATCTTTACAATAATCATTTCAATTGTGCCATTCTTCATAACCACAGGTCTTTGCAACTTTATATGATATTACCTGACAACAATGATAATCTGCATACAGAAATAGAATTAGATAAATTGTTATCGAAAATGAAAAGGTATTTCAACCATTCATGTTCATATCATATTAGCGGAGATTTCAATTTGCAAACCAAGTCGGAGTATTACAGGTAAAATATTTTATTCACTACAATTGCAATGGCTTTCTTTTAAATGCACACGACATATAAGTGAAGCAGAAAGGGTTTGAACAGAAGGTAAGATGCGACAAGACAGAACCATATATGATAAGAAAAAAAAAAGCAAAATTTGGTTTGTATTTTTTTATACTGTAAGAGATATCTTAAACCTTGGTTGTATGATATTGAACTGTTTTATCGTTAACTGTCATCATTGGGTGAACCTGAACCGTTCGTCCAGTAATTCGCATATATAAACGCATCAAAACACGTTTACATTCCATTCGATAGCTTCGTGAGACAACAATATAAATGAAGAATCCTGCAAATGGATTAATGTAAATGAGAAATGTGGTACCCAAATAATTCACAAAGCTTTCGATTTGTTGTCTTGCAATGCTTTTTACTTCTCCATTAGTCACAAATCGATAGAAAGTGATTGCCGGAAAGAGACTATTAGATACAAAATAGACGATGACTTCACTGAATAACATCATCAACAGTGTATAGTCTCGTTTATTGCCTACTCTTGTAGAGGTATTCAACCTTGTACGAAGTTCACGACGATGAAAAATAGCTAAAATACCAAAGATACCCATCAATATAGGTATAAGAAGACCAGGTACTATAACTGAATAGATGGCCCAAAAAACTGAGTATGACTGAGCCATTACACATGTGCCATTCTTGAAAATGTAAAAGAGAGGAAGATGAATATTCAAGACAGGCCATATGAGTATAACACCAATAATTAATCGAATAGCTATTTTAGGTTCATTGACAAACCGAAATGTAATAGAATAAGAACAAAGGGCATATCGATCAATACATGCGAGAACAGTTATTGATCGACCTATCATGAGAACCGTATGAATTATATAGTGACGCAATTTGCAATAGATGAATGAGTAGGTAACAGGATCAACATGATTGAGATTATACAATGAAGGAATGATACCCCAACTGATAATGAACATATTCAATATAGATGTTGTGAGAAGATAGAGTGTACAGGAATGGCGCTGTGGTTTTTGACGAGTAAACATAAATATATTAATAGTATTGCCAAAAAGACCAAGAACCAATAATGTGCTCATAATATATCGAGTCATCCATATGCGAACATCGACAAGAGATGAATCCATAGCAAACTAATACAATGTTGAAAGAGTACTATGAAGATATGATCAAAGCACTATATATTTCTATGTAGATTAGAAATATCTGACAAAAAGAAAACAATAAGCGCATATTAAAATTTCATCTATTAGTTTTGACATGTGATGAACAAAACATGATTACTTTGTTGAAAATAGTATTATGATAAGCCGAAACATTACAAAGCGGATTCGAGTCAATAGTGAAGAAGCAATTATTTATATTGCTTGTAGACAGATTATTGCCTGTGATTTGTTCACTTTGTAGGAGTGAAATGAAAATTTGTTGTCGTCAATATGCGACAAGATGATGAAAAGAAGATCAGAGATTCTGTTTTTGACAGTAGCATTGAATTATGGAACGTGGATGTATCACAGATGCTTGACGCAAGCTAAGATCATAGGCAAAATTGTTAGTCGAGTTGACAGACATATTCACACAACTGTTACAGAAGAATGGAATATTGGATAATATGAACAAATAGGTCAAACTATAGAAGGGAATATTCTCTTTTATAGTCATTTGAAAATATCTCAAAAGAAAGAAAAACTGTTCTTTAGAATCAGAGTGACGTGTGCACTGTTCAAATAACTATATTGACATTTTATTTGAGATGCAGTTCTTGAGCAATGAAAGAAGTTTTCAAACATTTTAAAATTTTGTTTCGAGAGATGAAAACGGCCTGACGAAAATTCTAAACATTAGTGAACTTCGTCATACCATACAGTCGACGCGGTATTTGTAAGATGTAGCACAAAACGAAATCGTAGCGCTACTTGAAATGAAGTAACATGCGTTTTGTCACACGGTAATATCTTCACAAAACTGGCGTTTCTGAAAACAAGAAATTTTTTACAAAATGAGGATGATTGAAAACAATAACCTGGCCATTTTATTAGGAGACGAAAAAAAAAACTAAAGCAGGCAATTTCTTTGTAATAGATATAGTTTAACGATCTGATATGTGTACGAAAATTCCACGTCATACTTTGAGATCCTCCATAGTGCAAATATTAACATGCATAAGGAACCTTGCGAGAACCAAACTTAGAAAGCCTTTCGAGTATTTTATTTCTACATTCGTACAAAATTTGCAAGTAACATCTCAGTTCATATATGGAAAGTGCACAAAATTCTGACTCTAATGTACAGTTTTTCATTCTTTTGAGATAATTTTATATGATTAAAAAAAAACATTAAAAAATATTCTTATATTTTGGTCTATCCATTAATATAATTTGAGGTCCCATTCGTGTGTAACAGTTATGTGAATATGTCTTTCGGCGCGACTAACAACTTTGCCTATGATCTTAGCCTTCGTCAAGCATCTGTGATATATCCACGTTCCATAATTCAATGCTACTGTCAAAAACAGAATCTCTGATCTTCTTTTCATCATCTTGTCACATATTGACGACAACAAATTTTCATTTCACTCCTACGAAGTGAACAAATCACAGACAATAATCTGTCTTCAAGCAATATAAATAATTGCTTCTTCACTATTGACTCGAGTCCACTTTGTAATGTTACGGCTTATCGTAATACTATTTTCAACAAAGTAATCAAGTCTTGTTCATCATATGTCAAAACTAATAGATGAAATCTTAATATGAGCTTATTGTTTTCTTTTTGTCAGATATTTCTAATCTACATAGAAATATAGTACGTTAGTTATATTTTCATAGTACTCTTTCAACATTGTATTAGTTTTCTATGAATTCATCTATCGTCGATGTGTGTATATAGATGCCTTGATATATCATGAGTACATTATTGGTTCTTGGTTTTTTTGGCAATACTATTAACAATATATTTATGTTTACTCGTCAATAGCCACAGCGTCATTCCTGTATACTCTATCCTCTCACGTCATCCTATTCGATAGCTTCTTTTCATAATGCACATCATGCGCTTGTGTTAATTTTATTAGATTTGATGATGATGACGATGATATTCTATAATTTTAATTATAGTAATTTATGATGCTACAATGCCTATTGTTTTTAAACAATATTGGGATGCTAGATGCACGCGAGTTGATCTTGGTAGTTTTTAAAGAAGAATTTGAAAAAAAAATCAATTTTCGAAATTAAAAAAAAATTTCAGATTGATGGATCATATTAGTAACAGAAAGAATGAGAAATGGCTAACTAAAAACACTGATAAAAATATTTTATTTGATTTCTTCAAAATTGTATGATAAAGCGTCAAAAAGAAACATTCCAATGAAAATACCAGAACGAATTCGAAGACTGCTCGTTATGTAGCTTTGCTTTTTATTGCTACACAAAGAATGCTTTATTATTTTGAATGCTTATCAGTTAGATCTATTTTTTTGTATTTATTTTCTAAAGCTGATTGCAGTTAAGGCTTCGAGTTTAAATATTATTTACTTACCTGAAAGAAAAATATTAGCTTGCTGTTCTCTTAATGGATGAGAATTTGAAATATTGTTAGATTAAAGTCACATCTATTATGCGAGAAACAAATTGAAAGCAATCCTGATAATAAAGCATTTACCCTTGTCCATTTGCTTTGTATTCAGATTCATTACAGAATACAGTTCAAACTCGACCTCGAACATTTTGGATTTGATGCATGACAACTCAAGTCAATGATTTTCAATTGAAAAACTTCAGAAAATAATATGAACTTGGAAATAGCAATACAATCATCGTGTTCAGTGGTCGAATCTTTTCAATTAACAAGTGGCCCCTGATAACATTGGAAATATTCTCCTACTGCATCCAAAATATCAGATTCCTACCATTGTTCAAAATTTTTCGGTGGGAATAGACCATAGATCATTCACTTCACAAGTCTAACGATAATCGTTTTATAGTACATCATAATATATTGCCATAATAATAATTGCTCAAAAACAGTTCTACTCAAGCTTTACTCAGAAATTTTCATTCGTACAACTCTTAATGTATTCTATTAATACAAGCAATTTTTAAGATCTTGCTTTGAATAGAAAGGTCAAACTTTTATGGATATTTGCATTTAATAAAAATGTTGTGATAGAATAAAAAAAAAATAATTCATTTTCTTAAATAGAAATTGACTTGATTATGTCATCTACGAACTTTTTTTAATCATCAAAAAACTCTTCTTTATATATACGATCATTCAATGCCTTATAAGACAAAGAATAGAAGAAGGATCAAATAAACTTCTTTTTTTCTTTAATAAAAAAATTACTTGTCCAAGCACATTCTCTATTATGAAAGAAGCATTAGGAACATTTTTTTTTTGTTCGTTTCATTTTCATAATCACGTAGATCGATATTCGATCCATCTATAGTAGAGATATATGAAGTAATTCGACCTAAGATAATTTCTTTGATGAATAAAAAAGAAAACGAGAACAAAATGTTCATTTAAATTGGTGCATTCGTTTTGATGACAGATATGAATAATCATCGTTTATACATTATCATCACTTATTTTATTTTTACTCTTATACATTTCATATCAACCTTGGAATGTGATAAACAATCTAAGGAAGATAATGTTCCATTTAATATGAAAGTTCATCAATCACCAATTATTGTTATTGGCACTTCATTAGATAAAAATATTGATATAAATATTCGAAATTTATTTAATGTTACGTTTCTTGTTTCGTGTATTTTAAAAGGTCGACCAACTCAACGTATTATTCATATTGTTCAAGCAGGTTAATAAAAAAAAAAAAAAAAAGTCAAATTTATTTTTCTTTTTATTTCTCAAAATAAATCAATTTTAGGTTCACTTCTTGGTCGTCGTTCATGTCAAAGATTAAATGTTAATCAACAATATATTGTTTTTCTTGAACCATTTTTTGATCGAACTTATCGACCAGTAGATTTTGAAGAAGTTCCTTATAGTAATCGAATACATTTGTTACTTGAAAAAACATGTGGTCTTTCACGAACATATCCATTTACGGAAATAAATGATACTGAAGCAGCCCTAACTAATAAATGTCCATCAGCTGTTTCTCTGGATTGTCCATCAGGTAAGGTTAACTTGATATTTTTTCATACAATTCATGTCTTATTTATAGAAACATCAAAAACAACTATTGCATTATCAACAACAACAACAACAACGGCGACAAATTCAATTTTGACAACAACAACAACAACAACAACATCAACTAGTATTACTTTATTAGGAAAAGATCCAATTGATCTAGCCGTATTATCACTTCTTTTATCTGAACATCAACAACAAAATCTTAGTCTCGATTTTTTTCAAGGTCAAAATCATAAATCACTTTTTTCCGATGATGAAGCACGAAAAAATAGAGCTAATCGATTATCATCTATGCTTATTATTAATTTAATTCATTTGATTTTTTTTTTAAATATTCTTTATATTATATTCTAGAATGAAGAGTATTCAATTGTATTTGATTGTTTGCAGTGTTATAATTTTTTTTTTTTTTTATTTAAAGATAAAAATTAGAAATTTGATGTCATAAGCAAAAACTGAATAAATAATGAATTTTTTGAAAATCAAGAAACTCGAATAAGCTTGCAAGAAATTTAGCTTAAAGAAATATTAGAATCTATCTGTTTGAAGAACAAAATAATTGTTGTGAACTTTCATGTTCATTCAATAAAGATGAACAATCGAAGTCATTTCTAGCCAGTTGTTTGTGCGAATCGATTTATAGCGATAACTAGATTATGAATTTCAAAAGAAATATTTCATAGACAACAGTTTTTTACGGCATAGTTTCTACAAAAAGACAAGTTTGTATTTCTGCCAATGATATCTTCAACTTTGAAAACAGCACAAGGCAAATAAGAATATATTTAGGTACATATCGAGTCGAAAAGATGGACTTCCACTGTGTTAAAATATACCATTTTCTAAGCGAACTTCCTTCCGTCTGCTTTTTTAGTTGCATGTCTATCTGTAAGAAATAATGCATTTTCTCTTGTAAAATATATTCTCAGATTAAGAAAAACAGACCTTCAAAAACATTTGCTGTTCAACTGAATTGACTGTCCACGAGAAAAAATCAAGTTGTCCAAAACAGCATTTTTTCTATACAATTAACGCCATTTATAATATCGCTTGGATAGATTCCACGCATTTATTTATCATGCATTTAAACGCATTCTCTTAACGTTATTATATGGAAAATAGAACATTTTTTAGAAACACGTTAGAACACAGTATTTATAATGCGTTTTTTTTTTTAGAAAAATGAATTATTTCACAAACAAGTTAAATGAATATTTCGATTCGTACTCTAAGTAAAAATGCCATTTTATAAAATAAAATATATACTGACCTATAGACAAACCAGAGATAGACGAGACCATCTCGTGCTCTTGTTCAAGCGTATGCACTTTTCATGCCTCTTTCTTTTCTTTTTCGATGGACATGTTTCGAAAGGTGAGATGGCGTAACATGTGTTCTATAGAGACTTCACAATATTGAGTAGACATGCGCTAGAATGCAAAGTGACGCGGGACAGCTCCGTCTATCTCTGAGACAAATATTTCATGATATTAAACTCAAAAATATATCGCTTTTATAGGACTCTTCTTGAGATAAACATATGAATATAGTACAGCAGAATGTATTTGAATATTATGAAAAGAAAGAATATAACCAACATGACTAGTGCAAATGAATAAAACAAGTTTATTCTGATTGAAGAAGAGATCTTTTGAGTAAGTTGAAAAGGTTATAAATAACATTAGAATGTCACATTTATCATATTTTCAATTCATTGAAAAAGATTATTATTGAAGAAATAGAAGTAGTCAATATTTGTTTATTGCTATCACAATACTTAAATTTTAGCTCAACTTCTTCTTTTTCATTACTGACTTCCTGTATAAATTGTCAAGGTTTATTAGTTGCTTTGTTCTCAAAAAGAAAACCTCGAATATGTTTATAATCTATTCAGTCAACAAATAATACACTCTATCACATCTATCAAGGTCGATCAAACGGATGTCGTTTATGATCCATTTCCCACCAGGAAACGATGACAAAGCGGCTGCTTTACGGCATTAAACAGATTGCATTTTCTCATAATATTACCTACAGTAATAAGGCACCATATACAGTCATGTATGTGCTGTAATCTCACTACGACACAGCTGTATTTCTGCATCCAGTATTATGACAATATATCACCTGTTAACATATCGTATTTTCATCGTAAACAGGCGTGTATGAACTGTATATTTTGATATGAATAGTTTTTGATTTCTTCCAAACACAATTTGGCATTCATACAGATAACAACCGTCTTTCGTTTTCATTGTTCGTTTCTTTATGTATAACCGTAATACAGAGCCATGGAATACACCAAAATACGGAGTGTATACGGATTTCGTATACATCATCCTAAGATTATAAATCAAGAAAAATTCAGATACTTGAATGGAAGAAAAAAAGCTAGGATTAATAGAAAATTTATTTATTGAAAATATTTTGTATATCAATATGAATCTTTAGTTTGAAATATCATATTTAGTGATGGTTCAATGCAGTCAACAGTGGTAGGATGAGTGTCACGATTTTTTGCAAAAGGAGAATATATTTCTTCTAATAGAATGCAAAACAAAAATTTTTTCAAGATTGAGAAGATTATATTCTCGACACCCTCTCTTGGTCGAATCGCTATATTCCTAGATGAGAATCTGACGAATTGAAACAGACTATAATAGTAGAATATATCTGAGTTTCTGTTCCGAAACCATCTTCGAATCATCTAATGCCATGTCCAGTTTTACCTATACTCTGATCTTAACGATGATGATTGGGATTATTGCAATTCATATTGTAGAAAATTAGCACAAGTCATATTTTCGTTTTTTTTTCTTGCAAAAGCCTTTTTTTCTAACTGTTTACTTATATTAATTATTGTATTATAGTTATACTATTTAATTATACATTGCTCAGTAACTTCTTTGTTGAGAATTCTAAAGATGTAGGAAAGATTTCTCGTAGTCAATATTGAAAAAGACGAAGTATAATTGCCACTTTCAAGTTGTCCGTTACGGCCTAACAAAAGGTTAAGTATCAACCAATAGAAGAAGAAGCATGCGTATGGCGAGTGTATTTATACTTATGCAATACTGACTACAATATATCTTTCGGGAAATCTTTAGAATTTTTGGCAAAGAAGTTACTAAGAAATGTGCAAATGCATTTTTAGTGGAGATAAAACGCGTTCCAATGCGTTTAAAGCAAGGGGAAAACGATGGACTCCATAATTCTGTTCTCTTAGAGTCCAGGGAGTACATGGAGTTCAAGCTAAGTGAAAAAGACGTTCGTTGGTGTTCCTCAGAGTACAAAAAATACGAGAGTATAGTAGAAATATATGCGAAGTACAATAAAAGTACAGTTTTATAACTAAGAAAAATCTAGATTTAAATTCAAGACGATAACAACGTATTTTCATTGTACTCCTGTACTCCCACGGCTCTCTTACTATACCCCATGTGCTTCTACTATCTGTACTACAACGAATGCGGGAGTACGTCGTTTCCCTCGTGGTTTAAACTCAAGAATTTAAGTGACGAGCCACATCGAAAAATAACAATATTGATTTCGAATACTGAAAACTGTATTACTTTTAAACACCAATACTCTAGATTATTGTATCGCTATTAACGACATCTTTTTTTAATTTCATAGTGGAACATCTTATGTTTTTAACAGGTTCACCACCTAGCAACCAAGTAGGCTTATGTCTCACGTAAAAAGAACAGAAATAAAACATACGGATTGTGACGCATCATGGTTTACTTTTTCTTTCTCTTCCTTCCTTGGAATGACTATGAGAAGCCTTTGTTTTTATTTTTACCAACTAGTTTATTAACTTCTGTTTTTATTTTCTTGAACTCAATCTAATAGATTCATAAAGTCAAATATTCTATCTAATATATTTGTATTTACGTTTCTCGAAGAGAACGAAAATATAAATAACCATGGGTGGAACATCTTGTAAAGGCGCAGCAAATAGTAACAAGTAAAAATTATTTATTTAAATAAAATAATTGATTTTACTTTCAATTTATTTTCATTATAGAGCAATTACTATTGCTATTCTTGGTTTAGACAATGCTGGTAAAATTAATAAATCAAGAAAAAAAAACAACAAACTTGAAATATTCTTTGTTTTCTATTTTTGTTAGGTAAAACAACAACAGCTAGAGTGCTTGAAAAAGGTAATAAAATTCTTTATAAATATTTTAATTATCATTAACAATTAAAATTTAGCTCCAGTCGACTCTGTAACACCAACCATAGGTTATAGTCAAACAGAAGTTACTCATAAAAATGAAAGAATTAAGTTAATTGATTTGGGTGGTGCAAAAACATTCCGTGAAGCTTGGCGTCATTATTATGATGATGCATATGGATTTGTTTATGTTCTTGATTCAAGTGAAGAAAGTCGTCTGGGTGAAAATCGTGATGTATTAAAAAAACTTTTACAAGAAGAGAAGGTTAAAGGAAAACCTATTCTTATGTATGAAATAAATATTTCTTCAATACTTACATGAATTTTTTTTGTTTTTCCTTTTGTTATAGTTTGGCAAATAAACAAGATAAACCTGATGCACTAGATAAAAATGCAATTCTTGAAGATTTAAAAATTGAACGACTTGTTAATGAAAATCAAACATTATGTCGAGTGGTAAGAATGAAAATAAATTAAAAATTTAAATAAAATTAAAAAAAAATTGATTTCTTTTGATCTAATATAGGAATTATGTACAGCTACAGCATTAAATCGTAGTGGAAAAAATTCTAAAATTGACGAAACTATTCGACATGGTTTTGATTGGCTTATTAAAGTCGTTTATGAAAATTATGATACATTACATAAACGTGTTGAACAAGATGTTAAAAAACGTAATGAAACTGAACAAAAAGCTAGACGTGAACGACAAGAACGCGTACAAAAACAACGTGAAGAGTAAAGTTTTTCTAAATTATTATATATAAAATAACAAAAAAAAAAAAGAATTTCTTAATTTTTCTTTTTCTTTTAGACGAGAAAAAGAAGAAGGTACTAAAAATGATAATGATGAAGATGATGATACAATGAAAAATGGTTTTGTTCCAATTGGACAAGCTGTCAAAAATGCTGAAGTAAGATCTGGAGCTGCTACTACTACTGCTAATGGCGACACATAGAAAAGAAAACTCGAATACCATCTGCTGTCTGTTATATATATGTTTTTTATCTTTATATAATTGATAATAAAAGAGCACAGTTTAATTTCGATTTTCTTATTTGCTAACTTTTATGTTTTAAATGTTTTTCTGAATATATTTGATTGATTTTTGAGGCTCATTCATTATTTATAGAAGAATAATTATTATAAAGTAGAACTATTCATATTTTATTGAAACTATTATAGAATTAATATTCTTTGAATTTTTTCTTTTTTTTTTTTTTCATTCTAGCGAAATTCATCAGAAAAATCAACAAAAGATAAATCCAATCGTATATCATCAAGTGAAAAAATAAAATCGAAAACAGTAAATGAAAATACATCTCTTCCACCAATACCAACACCACGATCTTCATCTCATACTCGTACATTAATTAATGATGAAAATAGTGATGATCAAGAACGTTCAAGACGAAATAGTACAGAAATTTCATCACAACGAAAAGAATCACCAATACCTCGATCTAATTCATCAAATTTTGATGAAAATCAACAAATTGATTCAACAGATGAACAAACATCAATTCGAACACTAACTGGTAAAAAGAAAAAAGTTATTGGTGCTGGTCGACATCGTTTAAATGGTGATAGTCTTCCACCATTAGCTCCATCATCATCAATATCTCGTCGTGATGATTTAACAGTTCATAAAGGACCACCTGCTGGTACACCACGACCACAACCTCTTGTTGCACAATGGGCTATAACAAGTCCAACTCCACAATCAACAGCTGAAAAATTAACAACAATTACAAGTGATAATGAATTAGATGATGATGAAGAAAAATATAAATCATTACAAACAAATAAACGTATTGGATCTCCTCATCCAAATACAACAAATCGAATAATACTCGATAGAAAAAATCAACAATTAACAAATAATAATGAAAATTTAGTTAATAATGATTATAAAAAATCATCTCGTGATAAAGGACATCATAATGATTTACATAAAGATGATGATGATGATGATGATGATGATGATGATGATGATAATCATTTTAATCATGGATCAAATAGACGAACATAATCATCATCAGCTCGTAAAACGGCTGCTGCTGGTTATTCTTCACATCGATCTTATTCAAGAACAGATGAAAATGTTGATGATGATCTACGATGAACAAAATCGAGCGATGATGTATTTTCTCAAAAAAAAAAACCTTTATTTCTGTATTTTCTTTCTTTCTTTTTCTTTTTTTATACATTATTCTATTATGCTTCTTAATGTTTGAAGAAAAGACCAGCACAAAAAACATGTTGATTCATCACTATTTGATGAAAAGCTTTAGCTTGTGAATATTTATTTGCTTGTGAAAATCTGTAACTATTATTTTCTTCTTTTTTTTTCTAAATGCACCCTATCAACTTTCGTAGAATGTATAATCATTTTCATCACGATATTATTTTAAATAGTTTCAAACACGAATGTTTCTAGACAAAAAAAAAAAAAAAAAGAAAAGATTATAATAACAGTTCTATTATTTTGTTAAACAAAGTAAAATAATGACATCATTCATTCGAAAGAAGATATAGAATATCATTTAAGAATACTTTTGAATTTCTATTCAATATAGTATATTATAGAATTTATGTAATTTGATCTTTCTTACAGAAAGAATGGATAAGAGAAACACAGTCTTTCTTCTATGGTTATCGTCCAGCTTGTTCACAAAATAAACAATGAAAGCGTATATAACGGACGTATATTCTTACTTTTCTATAGCCTATATATAAATCTATGCAAGATTTATTCGATCATTTCATTCGAATCAATTTGATATTAAAGTTTATTTTAACTAAGAATGTTTGCTATTGGTAATATCATTTTTCTTATCATCATATCTTTATGTCATGGTATACCAACAACTGATCGACAATGTTTACCAGATACAATTGATTTTAATACTAAAGTAGAAAAATCATCAATTGTTGTCTATGGAAAAGTAATGGCTAAAATGTTAGATGAAGAAAGTGATTCAACATTTCATGTCTTCTTTCAAGTTGATTGTATTTTAAAAGGACCAGCAACATTACGACAGATTAATATAACAAATGCTGGTAAGAGAAGTTTTTTCTTTAGACAAACAAAAAAAAAAACAACATCATACAACAATATAAGAAAATGATTTTGTTTTTAGGTCATATCGAAGGTAAAAAATATTGTCAAGATTTTTCTGTTGGTCGTGGTTATTCAATAGCTTTTCTTGAACCAATATCATCAAATACAACTGATTATTATACGTTTATACCAGCTGATTTTGTTGAAATTCTCGTTGAAGAAAATTCAACAAATCTATTATTAGCTCGTACATGTAATCTTCATCAAATAGTACCTCGTCAATCATCAGCATTAGCTATGGAAGTATGTCCAGCTGTTAGTACTGATCCAATATGTCATGAAACTGTCAATGTAACAATAACAGCAATGACAATTGATAGTAGTCTCATGAATACAACCAATGATTTTTTATCTGATTTAACAACCGATGATTTTTTATCTGATTTAACAACAAATGATATTTTATCTGATTTAACAACAAATAATCTTTTATCTGATGTAACAACAAATATATCAAATGAAATCGTATCTACTTCAAATGAAAATGAATTGTTACCATCTCCAATTGATTCGGTAGAACAAGAAATAAATGCTATTCGAAGTAAATCCGATATACATCAAATTGATGTTGATCAACACAATAATGCTAAATCGATAACATATAGTACACTTTTTATAATAATGGCTATTATCTTTTGTTCTAATTAATTTTTAAAAGCATGACTAACAAAAAAAATAAATTTCGTTATTTTTACTTTTTAATATTTGTTATTCGTACGTTTCCTATTTTTTAAAAATATATAACCATAAATAATTTTACAGAATTCTTTTTTTTTTTTCTTATTGGCGCGTAGAATTTTTTTTCTTCTTCTTCTTAAAAAATACCTATGAATTTTATCGAAACAAAATCTATGTCTAATCGAAGTTTATTATCATTGAATAATAATCAAGAATTAAATGGAAATGTAAGAAGATTATCAAAAAAATTTGAAAATCTTCTTGAATTAAGAACAGAATCTTATGAACAATTATCTTCTCCTAAATCTCAATTATTTACATCAATTCATAAATCATTTATAATAGATGAAAAATTTGATAATCAAAATAAACAAAATAAAAATCATATTTTAAATAGATGTTCAGATACAATATCACTTTATAATACTAATTTACATAGAGATCGATCAAATCATTTATTAAATAAAAATTCAATATCAATGATTAACAATTTATTAAATCTAATATCAAATAAAATGTTAATAAGAATTTTTAAACAAATACTTGTTGGTAGTTCCATTGGTACTTTCAATGGATCTTTGATTGGACAAAAAAGTCAGTTTTTATTTTCTCAATAGTTTTATTCTTAATAAAAATTGACTATAAATTCATAGATCTGACAATTAAACTTCTCGGTTTATTAACAACAACTATTTTTATTGGTGAACATATTCTTCATTTTACACAATGGACATTATTTAATATTGGTTATTAATTCTTCTTTTCTTTTTTTCATTAAAATTAAATAAGAAATCTTTTTTCTTTTAAGGTAAACTTGAATATAGTAAACCAAAAATACCTTATTCAAATTCATGTGGAATAATAAAAAATATCGATAGTTTCTTGATTGATAATATGCCAACAGTTGTTTCATTTCTTTTTTGTTTTTATACTTCCATAATTAATTAATATTTCAAATTTATCTTCAATTAGTTATCAATTATTATGTTAAGTTGAACAAATATATCAACAAAAATTTATTTCCATTATAGATAAACCTTTGATAATTCATGTTTATAATTTCCATTATAGATAAACCTTTGATAATTCATGTTTATAATATCCATTTTATTATTAATGATAAACATAAAATGTGCAATTCAGATTTTTATTCTTTGATTAATGAATAAAAATTATCATACATGTTCATTAAATTGATATTCGTTTTTCTTGTTTTATTTATTCAAAGATACATATATTTGATCGAATGGTAAAACTGCGACACCTTTAATGTTTAGAATAACGAGACTGGTCAACATCTTTTCCAATCAATCATTTGTTTTTCTATGACAGCTGATTGAGTTTTTCTACTGTGTTTCAAGGGTCTTAACGAGAAGAACAGAGTACAGATATATTTTCTCTGTTTACAATTAGAATTCTCCCACGTAAGAAAGATAGAATATTATATAAGACATTAATTATCAACCTTATAAATTATTTTTATTTTACGTAAAAGAAAAAAACCTTTATATATACAGATAATTAAGAATGCATCTAGAAAAAACGACATCAACCGAAGAAACACAAATGGATGGTAAAGATCTCGTGTGTCCCATATGCATGAGTAAGAATAATTATTTGATTTTAAAATTATTCTTATTTTTCTTTTTTTATTTCAAAATAGGTATTGCCGATGAGCCTTATATAACATCATGTTGTCATCGAATATTTTGTTCAAAAGATGCTAATTCAAGAAAATATGATAATGGTTGTCCATTATGTCGTGCAGAAAATTATTCATTTCAACCATCTACTAAACATAAAGAAATGCTTGATAAACTTACAATGAAATGTAGTTGTTCAGAACGAATGTTTGCAAATGAATACGACTATCATATGGCACGATGTTCAGATGTAACATTTACTTGTCCTCATAATACATGTCGAGATAAAGTAAATTATTAATAAAAATTCTACAAAAAAAAAATTAAACTATTTTGTTTTTCTTATTTAAATAGAATGATAGTACAAAATATAACTCTCAACAACTTGTCAATCATCTTGCACGAGTACATTGTGATGAAGTACCAATTCTTGGTCAAACATATATAAATAAAAAAACTCTTGAACCATATAAAAAAGCATCAACTAAATATGAGGAACTTGTTTCAACATTATATTCCGAAATTTATCCGAAAATGATTGATATACAATTAAAAAATTCATCAAATCTTCTAGAAACTTCACCAATATTTAAATGCCCATTAGGACATAAATTAATTGATGCTGATCGTACAAAACGTAAACGTAAAGATGGTACTGCTTATTCTTCGCCAGGTTTTAATTGTGATATATGTCATCGATCATTTCCTCATGGTCAATCATGGCATTGTTCATGTAAACAAAGTGGTTTTGATAAATGTGTTGGTTGTGTTGTTTTTGAACTATATGATATTGATAATGATACATTACGAATAGCAAGTGAAGATAATGAAGAACAACAACATCGTTATAGACGACAAACAATACGAAATACTGTACGTTTACCACGAGGATTATTTCGTTTATTAACTAGAAGTATGGATGAAGATGATGATGATGACGATACTGATGATATAGTATTAAGACATAATAGAACATCACAAAGTACACATGAAGGAACAGATGATGATGAAATTGAAGTTAATCTTCGTGAAGATTAATTAACAGTATTATTATGACTTAATTTTCTTTATTTCCGCGATGAACATTTAAACATGTAAAATATTCTTTGTAATTTTTCTTTTTTTGGTTTTTGTCGAATTTCACCTACCCGATTAATTTGTCTTCACGTTTTCTATTTCACTGATGATATATATATATATATATATATATATATATATATATATATATCAGCAAAAGTTTTCTGTGTATTTTTATAGATAGAAAACATAATAAACTTTTATGTTGATTCTCGAATGATTTATTTTAATAATCAAATTAAATAAAGATTTAATTTGATATTGTCCTATTTTTCATAAAAGATAAAATATTACTAGTTGAACATAGATAAAAAAAATTAATCTTATTAATTTTTTCACGTTTTTGTCATATATATATTATAATTCAATTAAATATTTATTTCTCTTGATAACAAAAATTAATTCACTTATTAATCAATTCGGAAATTATTTATCTAAAGCTAATTTGATTAATTATTACTATGTAAAATTTTCAATTGATAACAACAAAAGTAGAAGAAAAAACAACAATCGAGCTCATTATTTTTTTTTACAATACTTTAAAATTCTCCTTTTTTTTTTTCTTTTCTTTGTGAAATGTAAAAATAGCACTTAGAGAGTATTAAGAAAGGAAAAGAAGAAAAAAAAAGTGTGTTGTCGGCTACTAAAAACCATTTGTATTGATTGTAGGAAAGGAAACACAAACAGCCAAAAAAAAAAAAAAATAAAAGAACAACAATACAATGCCATTATTATATGACAATAACATGAAATTTGAATTAGAGAATTTCGATGATGATGATGATGATGATGATTATGATGAACATTGTCATGGTTTATTAATTCGACGAAAAACTAGTTATACCACTCGAGTTAATAAATCTTCATCAAAAACATCCTTATCTGCTCGTCAACAATCTGAAACTATTTATGTTGATCAAGCTATAGCATGTGCCTTAAAATCACGTCCAAAAGCGTTTCATTATACACAAAAAAACCTACAATATCTTCCTCCATCTATTCAACATCTTGCAGTATGTAATAGTTTACGTGAACTTGATTTATATGGAAATCAACTTAAATCATTACCTAATGAAATTGGAAAATTGAAATCTATTGAAATTTGTAATTTAGGTGAGATAAAAAAAAAACAACACAAAATAGTTTTTCAATGATTGCAATAATATTCTATGCAAATAATGTCTATAGTATTTCTCATCATTAAAACATCGGATCGACATTGATTTGTTTTTATTTGTTTTTGTTTTCGAATTGATGATGAGAAGAATTATGATTTGATTTGAACTTCGATAGTTTTTCATAATATCTAGAAAGAACTTTTTGGGCAAACTACTAAAACTCGAATCGAACACCAATATTGAACGTCTTTTTTTTTATTATAAACTTTCATGAATGAGTTATTTTATTGAATATTCGTAATTTGTATTAACACTTCAAACACTCAAGTTTTCAAGGCTGATCAAAATCAATCACATTAACACTCACTGTGTATAAATCATAAAATAACTAAATCCTCAATATTGCCGATAGAATCTAATTCTACTACACTAATATCCACAAACGCTCATAACCTACCTTCTGGCCTGAGTAAGTGGTCATCTGTAAACCATTTTCGTATACAAATTTTTTTTTCCGGAAATATATAAGTACAGCTTAAAAATATTTGTCAGCTATGCTCATATATTTCCTGAAAAATAAATTGTACAGAAAAATGATTTAGAGATGACACTTATTCAGATCAGAAGATCGATTATGAGTACTTGTGGATATTAGTGTGAAAGGGCTGGATTCGATGAGTATTGTCGAAGAACAAAATTTTCTTTGAATCATATATAGTAGGTGTTGACGAGAGTAATTTTTGATAGACCTTCAAAAAAAAATTGAGTGTTTGAAGTGTTGAAATAAATTACTAATATCGTATTTTATTTGAATTTCAACAGCACATTTGTTGCTATTGATATTGGATAGTGACAATTTACAAGTGAATTTTATCCTATACTTCAAACTTTGTTATTTGACAGAAAAAAAAAGACGATAAAACCAATCCATATACTTATTACAATATATTTTTTGTTATTTGTTACAAATATGAAATTGAATTCTTTGATTACTTGCTTTTATTTTCTCTCTATGAGTTATTAGATAAATTTTAAAGATGTTGATCATTGACAATTACTGCAAACATTTTATGATGAATAAATCTAATCTTAAGTCATAATTAGTGATTAGTAAAGTTGAAATTTTTAGAAAAAAATTTACATTAAATGAATAACAATCGTAGCATACATTTGTTTGTACGACTGCTAATAAAGCAAATTTCATAATGAATAGTCCATCAAGATAGTTTCTATTCTATTCGAATGGGTTACTATCGCTTGAGATCTTTCTTAATTGATAAATATTTGTTTCATGAGGAATTTTCATTTCTAACTAATATTTGAAGAAATTTCAATAAAATATTTTGTTCACTCAATGATCATCTGACATTTATTTTATCGAAAAAAATATAAGAAATAACACACAAGAACTTAACATGAAAAAACAAATGATTATTTAACAGTATGTTTTATTTTCTACATCTGATTGTAACTTCTATAGCAGAAAGATTACCTTATGCATATTCTAAAGGATAGTTTATAAAGAATGAAACACTTAAATTTTCCTGATTTTTGAAGACACTATTCCAAGGTTAATCGATAGAGAATTTTTTGCTCTACAAAACTATCGACTTTGTTCTTCAAATAAGTTTCTCCTGTCATAGAAAAATCGACAATATTGACAACCACTCAGCTATTGAACTGCAACTGTCAGAAAAGAAAATAATTATTAAAAATATATATTTCAATAACAGTTCCGTCAAAATTTGACATATGCTGCAAGATACGCCGTGAAATGCTGCATCTCGTGATATTTCGCAATTTTATTAAAAAAAAAAAAAAACAATTCGAAGAACAATTTTTCAAACAAAAATTAAAAAATGACGCAAAAAAATTCTTTCTGGCAGGTCTATGCCATTGAAAACAATCTAAAAGTTTTCATTGTTTTGTTTAAATGTTATATATCATTTTGTTCAGAATGAAATTCTTCATTCGATGATACAATGATAAACCATTCATAGAGTACGTTAATTTTCGAAAGCATATTCAAAACAACATATCACCAAGTGTTAGTTTCAAGCTTTTTGCACCTGAACAACATCACTCGAAGCTTTGAGAATATATTAGGAACATAGAATTTTTTATCTATTAATCCTAAATACTTAACATTTAGCATTGAACTTGATGAACACAAGTTTTCATAAATCGTTAGATGTCAGTCGAAGATCGTAGTTGGATACTGAAGCAGCTATCAATCTTTACAATTTTTCGTCGATAAGAAAAACTTATTAGAAACATGAATTTTACATTTTTTTTTGAGAACAAAAAATTCTCTACCGAACGAGATTAGAATGGTGCCTTTGAACCTTTTTCCCACGGTCTTCACAAAAATCAGAAAATCAAACTGTCTCATTATAAGATAAAGTTCAATTACTAAAGAGAATATATGTGACAGTGGATGGACTAATAGATCTTCATATACATCCATATTCACACACCTACAATATATCGATAGAATAATTAAGCTGATAGTTGAATATTAAATGCAATTAGTTAAAGACAAATATAAAGGACACGAATTTAGAGAATTATATTTTTTCTATGAATTTTAATAGGACATGTGCAGCACTCTCATTCAGATTATATACAAAGAATTATAGTTTGAATTAATTATTTTACTAATCTTTGATAATTATATGATTATTCTTATATTGATTAAATAGGAAATAATCATTTTGAAGATTTACCAATTGTTCTTGGTTTATTACCTAATCTTACAAAATTACTTCTATTTAATAATCATCTTGGTAATTTATCTTCATCATTATCATTTTCAAAATTAAATAATTTACGTATTTTAAATTTAAATAATAATTCTATAACACATTTACCAACTGATATTGGTATATTAATTAATCTTGAAATTTTAAGTATAGAACATAATAAATTAATAGAACTTCCACGTGAAATTGGTTTATGTATACATTTAATTGAACTTCATCTTGGTTATAATCATTTAACAAAACTTCCACTTGAAATTGGTTATTTAATTGAATTAAAACAACTTATTTTACATCGTAATAATCTTCTTGAATTACCTGAAAGTATAACTAATTTAAAAAATTCATTAAAATTATTAGATATTGCTTGTAATAATTTACGTATATTTCCAAGTAAATTTCATACATTAAATTTAAATGAATTTTATACGGAAAATAATCCATTATTAGAACATACACCAATACATTCAATACAAGAAAATGAAATATTAACATTAAAAGAACTTTGTGCACGTCGTTCAATGAATGAATTACGTAATCCAACATATGATTTTCAACCAACATTACGTGAACGTATACAACATAATAAAAAAGCTAAAGATATTTTAATACAATGTACTGAATGTCAATTTTGTCATAATTATTTTTTAAATACATGGTTAGAATGTGTAGAATTTATTGATGTACAACGAACATTTAAAGGAATGAAAAATAATATTAATCCCGCCCTAGCTATTATTCCTCAACGTGTACTTCTTTGTTCATATGAATGTTTCAATACTCCAGGTCATAATTACTATGGTGTTGCTTTTACTTAACTTCGAAAAAAAAAAAAGGAAGAAGATATAAAAATAATATTTATATATAAACATTCTTTTATTTTTTCTGTGCTTTATTTCAAGATTTCAATCTGCATTTGTTGACTTTTTATTTTTTAATTTTTTTTTTTTTTATGAAAATTTCATTTCATCGCACATTGTTCTTTCTTTGTCTACACACACGCACACACAACAATGTTGACAATAAAAAGAAAACAAATGAATTTCGGTTTTTTTTGTTTTGTTTCTTTAATCAACTTCCTAAAATACAAAAGAAAAAAAAAATGATTATAAGTAAATAAAATATAAAAAGTAAATGAAATTTTTTACCTCAATAGTTGGACCAGCACTACCACCAGCACCTCCTGGTTGTCCACCGGCACCACCTGGAAAACCGCCTGGAAAACCACCTGGCATACCTCCACCAGGCATACCACCACCAGGCATACCTCCAGCTCCGCCATAAAGTTTAGTCATAATTGGTGAACATAGTTTTTCAACTTCTTTTAATTTATGTTCAAATTCTTCTTTTTCAGCAAGCTAAAAAATCAAAAAAAAAAACATTAATATAAAAAAGTTTTTTTTTTTTTTTATTCGTACTTGATTTGCTTCCATCCATTTTAATGTTTCTTCAATAGCATCAGCAATCTTTTTCTTATCATCAGCCTCAATTTTATCTGCTAATTTTTCATCATTAATTGTTGTTTTCATATTAAAACAATATGATTCAAGTGAATTTTTAGCAGCAATACGATCACGTTGTGTTTCATCTTCTTTTTTATATTTTTCAGCATCAGAAACCATACGTTCAATTTCATCTTTTGATAAACGTCCTTTATCATTTGTAATTGTAATTTTATTTTCTTTTCCTGAACTTTTATCCATAGCTGATACATTTAATATACCATTTGCATCAATATCAAATGTAACTTCAATTTGTGGTACACCACGTGGTGCTGGTGGAATGCCCGATAATTCAAATTTTCCTAATAAATGGTTATCTTTTGTCATTGCACGTTCACCTTCATATACTTGAATTAATACACCTGGTTGATTATCTGAATATGTTGTAAATGTTTGTGTTTGTTTTGTTGGTATTGTTGTATTACGTTTAATTAATGCTGTCATAACACCACCAGCTGTTTCAATACCCTTTAAAAAAAAAAAAGATTTATTTTGCTTTTGTTTTTATTTTTTTTCAATTAACTTACCAATGAAAGTGGTGCAACATCAAGTAAAAGTAAATCTTTAACATCTTCAGATTTATCACCTGTTAATATAGCAGCTTGTACAGCAGCACCATATGCAACAGCTTCATCTGGATTAATTGATTTATTAAGTTCTTTACCATTAAATAAATCTTGTAAAAGTTTTTGAACTTTTGGAATACGTGTTGAACCACCAACAAGTACAATTTCATGTATTTGTGATTTATCCATTTTAGCATCACGTAAAGCTTTTTCAACAGGTTCAAGTGTTGAACGAAATAAATCTGCATTAAGTTCTTCAAAACGAGCACGAGTTATTGTTGAATAAAAATCAACGCCTTCATGTAATGAATCAATTTCAATTGATGCTTGTGATGATGATGATAATGTACGCTAAACAAAAGCAAAAAAAACAAAAATTTTTTTTTGTTAAAATAAAACTAAGAAATAATTTTTATATACTTTAGCACGTTCACAAGCAGTACGTAATCGTCGAAGACCACGTTTATTATCTGATAAATCTTTACCATGTTTACGTTTAAATTCTTGTGTAAAATGTGTAACCATTCGATTATCAAAATCTTCACCACCTAAATGTGTATCACCTAATAAAATTAAAAGAAAAATTTTTTAATAGAAAAAACAAAAAAAGAAACACATCGTTTCTTACCGGCAGTTGATTTAACTTCAAATATTCCTTCTTCAATTGTTAAAATTGATACATCAAAAGTACCACCACCCAAATCAAAGATTAAAACATGTCGTTCATTTGAGACTTTTTTATCTAAACCATATGCAATAGCAGCTGCTGTTGGTTCATTTATAATACGTAATACATTAAGACCAGCAATAACACCAGCATCTTTTGTTGCTTGACGTTGTGAATCATTAAAATAAGCTGGAACAGTAATAACAGCTTCAGAAATTTTTTTACCAAGATATGCTTCAGCTATTTCTTTCATTTTTGTTAATACCATTGATGAAATTTCTTCAGGTGTAAATAATTTTGTTTCATTTTTATATTCAACTTGTATTTTAGGTTTTCCACTTTCATTAATAACTTTAAATGGCCAATGTTTCATATCAGCTTGAACAGTTGTATCTTCAAATTTACGTCCAATTAAACGTTTAGCATCAAATACAGTATTATTTGGATTCATAGCTACTTGATTTTTAGCTGCATCACCAATTAAACGTTCACTATCGGTAAATGCAACATATGATGGTGTTGTACGATTTCCTTGATCATTAGCAATGATTTCAACTTTTCCATGTTGAAAAATACCAACACACTATTTAAAATTGAAAAGAAAAAAAAAAAACAACCAAATAAAATCGTTTTATTTAGAATTTAATTAATTTTTATATTTAACTTACAGAATAAGTTGTTCCTAAATCAATACCAATTGCTTTACGTCCATCGGCCATTGTTTAATTGTTTTTTGTTTTTAAATAATAGACGAAAAAGAAAACGTACTATTAGAAAAATCTACAAATTAATATAAAACAATATAGTCAGCGTTAAAATATGTCTTATTATATATATGCTTGCAATCAGTTTACTAGCAGCTTACTTTATATGAGCAACAACGATAGTGGATGTGGGGGGAAGTAGAGAAAAAGAGAAAAAAAAATACGATGGACGGTGAGATTCCAGATTGTTCGAGAAACATCTTGTAGAATCTAAAGAGAAAAAAGAAAAGAGAATGATGAAGAAGAAGAAGAAGAAAAAGAGAGAACGAACGAAAATAATGGGCAAAAATGAAAAAAATAGGAAGAAACGATAATGTATTACATGTTGCCCTCTGTAATACAGAGTGCGAATTACGTCATTGTATACGTGTACGCGAGTGCATAGACATAGTCAAATTGTAGAACAAATACATTTCGTTGCTTAGTAACCAATTATTAACTAAATTAGAAAATAATTGAATGAAAATTACGATAATTTATTTTGATAGTGAATATTAAAAATATCTTTATTCAGATTGTATTATATAGCATGTTCAATTATTTTTTCAAGTGTTTTTGTTGTTATTTAAGTTCAAAAAAAGACTAATTAAAATAGGAAATAGTACATTGATCAATAGATAACAGTAATTCATTATTTATTTCAATTAATTTTTTTCTCTAATGATTAAAATCGAAATGTTTTAATTTTATTTTTATTTTAATAACGAACAAGAAAAAATGATTGATCATCATTGTTTTTCATCAAATCATCACTTTAAATATTAGTTGTAACACGAATACAATAAAAAAAAAAAAAGAACGATACATTTGAGTGAGATGGAAAAAGAAAAACCGATCAACTGTGCTTTTCATATAATACTAAAATAAAAAAAAAAAAAAAAAAAAAAAAAAAAACAACAATCAATCTGCAAAGTTGCTTTTTATTTAATAAGAATGGAATGTAAACTTTTCTTTTTTTTTTTTTTTCATTTATATAAAAAAAAAAGAAGGAAGCAGACAAGGAAAATTTCTACGAACAATAATTCAATAATGAGAATAAATGACAAGTGAGAAAACATGCATAATAAATATATCTAGATTGAAAAATGAACAGAAGAAAAGAAAAGAAATCAATTGTAGCACTGTTCAGGAAATGTATTTAATTCAGCTTCATCACTTATTGATGAATTATTATATAAATAATTAAGTTTAATACGCATACGAAGTTTATCTTTATTTGAATTTAAAATTTTTATTGTTTGACGAAGATCTCCAGAATTATTTGATGGTATTATTGTACTAGTTGGAGGAAGTAATTCAAGATTAAATGTCTAATAAATCAATAAATATATTTAAGAAATAACAAGATAAAAGTTTTTTTTTTATTTCTTCTTTACTTTAGGTACAGCTGCTTTAAAAACAAAATTTGTTATTGGTATTTTTGTTGAATTTGTTGCATGTAAATGAATAAATAAAATATTATCTTGTCGTTCAAATTGAAATATAATACGTAAACCATTTTTATCAATAGCTGTCATTGATGGAATAGATGAAGTTTTACCTGAAATTGAAAATAAAAAAAAAATTTTTTTGAAAGACGAATCAAAAATTTTACCATTAATAATAATTGATTGATTTTTTAATAGATCATTACCAAAAATATCATCAAGTGGATTTGGTATTGAAATCGATTGTTGATTATTAGAATTTAATAAATCAAATAGATTATTTTCCGTATTAAATTCATTTCCAGTATTTGTTGATGATGGTTCATCGAGAATTTTAAATAAATCTTCCTAAAAAAAAAAACAATTCATTGAAAATTTATTTTTAAATAAAAAGAATAATTTATTTGTTTTGTTATTCTTTACCACCGGTTCATTTTTTATATCGGAAGTTATATGAGAATTAATTCCAGTAATTGAAGATGAATCTTCTTGTTCATATGTTTGTTCTTCATTATTTGTAGTTGATGGTTGATTATTCATAAGAACAGGCATACGTTCGACAATACTCGACCTTTAAATATTAAATTTATTTTCTTTTTATTTATCAAACAAATGTTTATTTAGAGATTATATCTATCGTAATCATTTCCTTTCAAGAATGAACCTTTAATGAAATATCTTCTCATTAGAGTTTAAATATTAAAAAAAAAAATGGTTTTTTCATGATAATTGTCAGTTAAAAATTGCGAATTTGTTTATATTAGATAGCATTGGTTTTTTTTTATAGAGTTCATATTTGGTCTCATAAAAGTCTAATTTTACTCTTAAGAATTATTTACTAAATGTTATTAGGAAAAAAAAACACAGTCATCTTAATATAATACCGCTATCT